CCTCTCGTACCGAACATTCTCTCCCTCGCGTACCGAATTTTCGGTGTTCGTTCGAAAATATCCGAAATCCCTCGCGCTTTATCGACTTGTCATTCGTCGAGATTGCGATAGGATTTTTAATTTGTTTTTGCAAATTTAATGTTTTACTTTTTTACTAACTAGATGTTGCTTGCGACTTCCGCGTGAATTAAAAAAACCTAGCCTTGTTACTCACAAATAAATTAGCTTTCTAATGAAAGAAGATTTTTAAAATCGGCCCAGTAGTTTATACGTATTTCAAATACATACTGATTTTTTTCTCTTTATAATATTAGTATAGATAATAAATGAAATAAAATACAAAACTTATTCATTACACTTATTAATTTACGTCCCGATAACCTACGTCGTAGACTTTCGTAGTCATTCGTAGACATTCGTAGCAGTCGTAGCACACGAAGCCTTTAGAATAAACATTAAAAATCCGCGATATATCAAAAAGCCTTTCCAATGCTTACAACAATGTTAAAATGTCTTTTATAAAATTTGAAATGTAACTTAACAAAAAATGATGAATTTACTGTCTTTGTGTTTCAATGGCTTGTAAAAAAAGTAAAAAACCCGTTTACATCAATTATCTGAACTAGATTTTCACTTATAAAGCCGAAAAAATTTATTTATTCCATTGAATTATAAGTCTCTCAGTTGGGATGTCGACTTGTATTTCTCAAAAGCACTTTCAGTACGCTCCGTTGTTTCAACAATAACCCTTCTAGTTTAGTGTTGGAGCATTAAAAATGGAAAAGAGAAACATTTAAAAGGGTTCTCAGAATGGGAACGAATACAAATGTCAAATAAAAACTCGACAATCAGATTGATAAATATTTTATGTCATGTAAATGTAACATTTTTCTGTTCTTCAATCTAACGAGCGATTCTCCTCTTTGGGCAAAGAATATACCTTTCATATTTTCTGTCACATACCCTTCTCGTTGATGAAATATAGCGTATGTTACTTATTGATAAAGTAGCTTTTTAATAGTGAAAGAATATTTGAAATCGGTTAAGTAATATCTAAGCCTATTCAATACAAACAATCAAATTTTTCTCTTAATAATATTAGTATAGATTTCACGCGGGCGAAGTCGCAAGCAACAGCTAGTACCTTATATGGTCATCACTGCCATTTTATGCTTTAATAAAATATAGTCTTTTTCTCATATGTTTTCTTCCAATTTGCACAGAATAACCTTGCCAATAACACCGTTTTTCCATGTATCAACGTTCGCCACTACCAATATGGCCATCGTGTCGTCGAGCTAATGCAACACCCTTATTTTGACATCTGACTACTGTCCGATTATTAACATAACAAGTAGAATTCCGACATTTTAAAACCATAACATAAATACTAAAATAATGTGTTGGATCACAATTACAAAGTTTATATTGTTATTTTAAATAAAGATAAATGGTATAAATTTATAGCACAGACTAAATAACCTTCAAGAATACAGAATACGTCAAAATAGTTAAAAAGCTAATACTTCTAACTTAAAAATACAATTTAACGCAGATACTAACATTAATTGCACATTATTTAATTTTAAAACCCAAAATGTAGCACTAAGAATGAATCTTGTTCTCAGAACTGTTCCTATACATGACCACTCTAAACCCATACGTACGTCCACTCTAATCCGATTCGAATCGCTTTACAGTGCTTCAACGCTGAAGAGATTTAGAAATACCTACGTCTCTTTGAAATTATATTCCTTAGAATCCGAAACCAAAGCAAACCTTTTGACAGAGTTAAGGTTCCACCGCCACTTTGAAACACTGAATTACATATTTTAAGAATTTAATCCTATACCTTTTAGAGATCATATCGAAGTAATTAACACCATAAAAACGAAACGAAGTACAGTCGTGGGAATTCGTATGTTCGCCTTATAGAAAAACTAGGTGTTGCCCGCGACTTCCGCGTAATATTAGAAAACATACGAAAAAGCTACGTATCCCTCGGGAACTGGACATTACTTGGCGATGAATCTTAACCCATGTGTACTAATTAATGAATCCCACGGGAACCGTAACTATTCCTGGGATAAAAAGTAGCCTATGTATTCTTTCAGACTATGCTCTAAACCTGCGCCAAATTTCATGGATATCTGTTCAGCCGTTTAGGCTACAAACACTAACAAACATCCATCCATCGTAACTTTCGCATTTATGATATTTATATGATTGCCCTGTTCTTTGAATCAAAACTCTCGGTCCCTTAAAAAACAATTAGGTACATTGAGTTTCGTAAACTACGAGATAAGAAAAAGCAATTAGCATTGTGTGATTGATCAACATTTTTAGGTACAGACAAATTTAAAAGCTGCGTCCTGTTTGTACTGTATACTGGTGACGTCCACTACCGTGGGTGGCTCAGATAGGACTGCTCTACATGACAGTAGACAATAGTGTTGCCATACACCGCACCAATGGTTAATGTACTTTTCGAGTTCGTTATCCGTATCCGTTTCCTTTTTTTCGTATTTATAATACTTAGGGCATGTCCCACCACTGACTGATAGAAGCCCAGATAGCTTAAAAATGCCGTCACTGTCAGATAAGGTAAAAATCCGATATTTCCATCACATATTTTTACATGTTGGATTGTTATCAGGCAATTTGAATATTTTTTTAATAAACAGCCCTGCAATTACGTCACGCTTTAGGCTATACATATTTACGTTTTTGAACTTAGAGGGTAAATATTTTGGATAATAACCCTTATGTGAGAAAGAGACCATAAGTTGCTGCTAATATCAAGAAAGCAAGATTGCTAAGGTTTGGCATGTCATGTCATTTTGACATTTGCTATTGATAATATGACAAATGTAAACAAGAAAATAAAAGATGAAGCCGCACGGGAACAGCTAGTTTATTATAATTTTGCGTCATAAAATATGTATATTACGTAATGACGTATTTTAAAATTGAAAATTAATGTTCCAATACAAATTAATTTCGTACAATAACACGTATTTCAGATATTCCAAATTCAAATGATTTCGAAACGCATTTAATATTCAATTCATATAATACGGCGTTATTCGATTGTTTTCTATATCTCCCTACAGAGGTTAATGTCACAATTAATATGAAATTATCTGTATACAAAAACCTACCTTATGACATTGACATAGAATACATTTTACATTGCAGCACAATTTAATACAATCTCGTATTTCAATGCTTACAAATCATTAGCGCTCATTAAAAATAATAAATTTAATTTCAGTTATAACTAAAAGGAAGAAAAAAGAACAAAAATAATTATATAATGTATGGAAAATGTTATTTAATGTTAATCCAACTTTAAACTATTTTACTATCTAAGTTTTACCCTATTTTTAGAATCTTTATAACAAACCATAGGACCTTTTTTAATATTTAAACCAATGTAGAATTATTCCCTTACTAGCTTTCACTCGCGATTACGTCCGTGTGGAATAAATAAAATGATAAAAAGCCCATGTGATGCGAAATTTCACTAAGATCCGTTCAGCGTCCAGCAGTTTAGACTACAAACTCTAACAGACATCCATACAATCAAGACAAGAAAGTCAAAGACTCAAATTACAAAAACAAGGTTCTCGAAATTTGTTGAAAATAATTAATAGACCTCATTTTGTAAACGACAGTTTGAAATTCCGACGATCGGATGAAAATTTCCTCCAAAGATTTATCCAGTATTTTTATTGACACGTTCCTATCACGAGTTTGTGAAGATTTTCAATCATCGGATAGCAAAAGTTAAGTAAGATAGGAATCATATTTGAATGTTTTCGACGTTTGGTTGTATAGGGAAATATTTTGAACAGATTTTAAATATTCGAACTAATTTTTCTAGAATCACGCCATCTATTGGTGAAAGTTGTGATCCCAACTTTCTTTTAAATGTGTATTTGTTTTTAAACACGAAATGAAACTAGCCGTTTTACAGCAATTACAGTTTTAAAAATCTCACTTATATTATAAATGTGAAAGTTGGTATGAAAAAATGTTTGTAGTCTAATCTGCTGAACGGATCTCGATATTTGGCATAGATGTAGAGGATAGTCTGGAAGAACACATAGGCTATTTAACTTTGTTTTTTATTTTAATTCACGCGGACGGAGTCTCAGGCAAAAGCTATCACTAAGAACAATAATATAAACAAGACTGTGTGTCTGAACATTGTGTTTGAATACCATTGCTATATCTCAGTCTCTTGAGATTCTAGGGGTCAGATTGTCGAAATTAAGCCCGATATACCCCTCGAGCATTTATAGGGTTAACTAATAAGACTTCAATCGTATTTGATAGCAGGATAAAGGTTGAATACCGTAGAAAATCCCTTTAGACGCACACCTTAGACTAAACTATCGCACAACCTTTGCGTCGATTGTTTCTCAGCCAATTCAACTGTTTAGTTGCACATCCAAAAATCGAATAGTGTGCGCACCTCCGTATTAGCTCATACGTATCAGAGACTAAACAGTTGTGCGATAGTTTAGTTTCAAGTGTAAACACGCTCTTAGTGTTACAGATTGAGTTTTTAACGGACTCAAAGTTTGTACATACAACCTTTTCAAATGCCCTGTGCGATCAAGCGTGACTTTAGTTTGAGTTTTTTACTAAGAAATAAAGTTTATTCAATTTATAAGAAAGCTTTTGAGTTTTTTTAAGGGTAATTGAATTGAAGAAAATACTCTATTGAGTTAGTTTTAATAATAAAACAGTTAATTAAAATTGGAACTGAAAATAACGTATTTCTCTATACTTGGAAGAGGAAAGATTTGTTAGTTTGTGACTAATAAACTCAAAAACTACTCAACCGATTGCAAAAATTCTTTCACCATTAGAAAGCTACATTATTTCTGAATGACATAGACTATTATTTCACATAGAAAATATGTAATAAATAGTAAAAATTTTGATTTTCAAATTTACAGTGAAATTTTCAATTGTATTTTTTGTTTCAGTTTCGAGTGAGGAAGTAAAAGAAGTAGAAAGTCCAAATGGAAATCCTAAATTGACAAGATTTACAACAATATCAAGGTACAGTATAACTGTTGTATCGCCATCTCTTTCATTCCTTAAGAAGAAATAGAGACAAAACACTTTTATGTTTCGGATATCAATTTTCTTTACAATTCATAAACATTGTTATTCCAAATGAGAGATCGAAGACAGAGCTAATTACAACTAGGAAAATGTAAACACTGGAATGTACTATGTTCCAGTTGTAATCTACTGCTAATTTTGCTGGACTGGAATAGTGTAAACTCTGCGCTAAACTATTGAAAATTATCAGTTAATATTTAAATTAACTCTTATTCTTACGTCTTTATACAACGATCAAAGTCTAATTATTAAATTAACGCCCTCTATTGTTAACTATAATTAAACTAAGACTGGCAGTTTATTATAATTTCAAATGTTAACTGGAAACCATATAATTACCATTATTAAAGTTAACCACTTAACGTGAGATTGGTCGTTAAATTTAAATTGTTTTACAAACCGGATATATTTCTTTAATAAAATCTATATATGATAGAGACAAAGCGCAACTGTATGACATTTTATTGGCTGCCGAAATCTGAGCTTCATTCCTAACCCGTGTCAAAGTTTGACGTAAATCGTCATATTCCGCATTAGTTTGCTACAAAGTTGACGCGAAATAAAATTGGGTATTGATAATGATTGGTACAATTTCCTTCTGTCAAATACATATAACTTATAAGTTAACTAATTGTCGACGGCCGTTCTAAATGAAAATACAATCAGTAAAGCGTATTTGTGCTTTCATACTATGTTCTATATCTGTGTTAAATTTTATCAGAAAGCCTTAAGCTATTTTGTAGTACAAACATAAATCTAAACTTTTGTATTAATGTTATTAGAAAAAAATATTATTTAAGAGTACAATGCGAAAATCGGTCAAATACATTAAAGGAATTAAATTCCCAACCCACTGAAATTTTATATAGTTCAAGATGGTATAAGAATTGCAATTCAGCATATATCAGTAATACAAGTTTTAGACATAATTTTTATGTTATAATTTCATCAAATGGGTTGGAAATAAACGTCCTGGACTGTAAAAGTAAGGAGGAGAGGTAGGAGGTATATGCATTTTTAATGTGGGCAAGTTCTACCGAAGATTTGTTCAGGATATTAAAGAGGCGAAAGGGTCTGTCTACGTCTCGGAATGAAATGGGTTCGCTGCTAACAGAATATTCTATAATTCCGTACACAAATACCCTTTTATTGTTAAAAGGAAAATGTTTTGGTCGGATTAATTTCTTATTTTTATATTCGCACTTAAATGTGATATAAAAATTATAACAACAAAAAAAAACAGAAAGCACAGCATAGAATTACTACGGAAAGAAAAGTCCTTTCCCTTCCTCGTAAGGAAAATGTGGAAAGGGAGTGTATTGACAATAGAGGAGACGCATAAAAGGGGAAATATCCTTATTATATGCTTTATTACGCTCAGTCAAGTAAGTTTATTACGTCTCTGCAATTACAGATGTCTATGGGCTGCATTTGATTCGCTATCTCGGCGAATTGAGATGGCGAATTTCTTAATCCAGTAAATAAAGATACAAATTATATTGTTGTGTGGAAGGTGAGGTGATCAAGAAGGGAGTGATGACTGAAATGAGGAATGATAGTGTTAGGTGCGCCGAACCTACAGGAGTAGGATAATGTAGGGATGATGGTGATGATGATGGTGGTGGTGATGATGATGATGGTGGTGGTGGTGGTAGTGATGGTGATGATGATGATGATGATGATGATGTATAACCCTTTAAATAAACCATATGTCTTAATACAAGTTTAAATATGAGAAAAGTTTGCACATTGCCAGTTACATTTCGTTTACCTACATCGTTTTGTTACAATCGTTGTTGAGTTCAGACAAAATATAAATTACTTTTTGCAAAATGTCACAGCTTGACGCGAGAACGTGTAAAGTACATTGATTTATGTAAACTGGATGTGTCATTTCAACAATAAAATCTTTAACTTCAGAAACATTAGAAAATACATAGGTTATCGTAGAAGCAATTATTATTAATAATAGTAATTTAAAAATACTATTGAATATCTTTAGTTTTCATTAAAATAGTTACAAATAATCATTTTTCTTTTATAATTTTAACATATCTAGTATTTGCTTTCGTTGCAATTTATTACATCTAAAAGTCTGCCAAGCAAATCAAACCATACAGTTCAAATAATGTAATTAAAGGTCTTTATAACAATATAAAAAACTATTTTATTAAACAAGCTATCTTACTTATTATTATTATAAATGCGAAAGCTTAGATGGATGGATGTTTGTTAGAATTTGTAGCCTAAACGGCTGACGGGATCTCGATGAAATTTGGCATAGATGTAGAGGATAGTCTGGAAGAACACATAGGCTACTTGCTTTTGTTTTTATTATTCCGCGCGGACGGAGTCACGGATTAAAGCTAGTAGAACTATATTTCTGAACGACGATTTACCATAAATACAGTTCAAGTCACATCCATTCATTTTATATCAACGTTTAAATACAACACAATACAGAAGTTTGCGGAAAGTTCCAAATTCATGCGAGCAACAAACAGAAGGCTTCGTTTTATTTATTTAGCGAGTCGGCTTATTTTATTTTATATTCTCTGTCTGAATTTAGAAAGAAATTGAGACTTATTTGTTAAGTTAGATTTAGTACGAAGTTACCTAAGTTATAAGGTCGTGGCTTTTACAGTTTAGTAACGATAAATTACCTTGTGAATAGTATTTTATTGGTTGATGGGATGTTAATTTGAACACTTTTCGTACAAGGAATGGATGGGAAAGGAAAGTGGATTTGACGGAGAATGAGACGCATATCCTCTTTCTAAGCGTCCCTTGTAAAAAAAGGTAGACAACGCAACTGCAAATGCTTGTCGCGAAGCGGTAATTTCGCTATTTTGACGAATACCATTGATAAATGAATATATATTTTGATTATTATATCTGTCTTTTGTTTGATATTTAGTGTTGAAATAAACTTAACAAATCGTAAGGACATAATAATATCCTCAAGTATATACTCGAAAAGGCAATATTGTCGTATATTGTTTCCAAAGGTACCCACTTCTTGCCAAAACGTTTTCTCGCCAAGAAAAACACTCGAAGGCGCCATGAGAAATATTTTCTCGGATAATTATTAACTTGACTATATATCATTGAGACAATAAGTCTAGATTTTAAAATAATTTTGCAATAATTAGGGTTTTTTGTTTATTTCGTAAAATACAAAATAATCGCATTCTAAACTCAATTAAACTTTTTACCGTTTGTAATATTTCAAAATGCTTAAAAAAGTATCATCATCATCACCAGCTCACTATACGTCCCCACCGAGGGGCTCGGAATCTACCCTAATCAGGGGTGATTGGCCATAGTCAACCACGCTGGCCCACTGCGGGTTGGTTGACTTCACACATATCTTTGAATTTCTTCGCCGACATGTGCAGGTTGCATCACGATGTTTTCCTTCACCGTAAGAACGTCGGGTAAATTATGTACGTATGAAAATTCGAAAATCAAATTGGTACATGGCAGGGATTCGAACCCAAGACCTGTACATTACAAGTCAAGTGCTTAAACCACTGAGCCACTGACGCTCTTGAAAAAGTATACTAGAAACATATTTATATATATAACTCTCCAAAGATATGCTCCTCAATACAAAATCGAGCATAATTCCGTATAAATTCCAATATCTCGCCGGATCAAACCGGTTTTAACTGGATTGCGCTAGTTCAATCGAGTTGGAGCTCGCGTCATTAGCGAATCTCTAAATCCGTTTCGATATTTCCCTCCAGCGGATTATACCTCCTCCTATTAAACAAATACCCTATAGAAGGTAGTCAAACTGTTGAGATAAGTTTGTTCTACGTTTAGTAAGATAAATCGAACATTATCGATGGTTTTTAGACGCCAAAATACTCTTTCAAATATATTATATTATCTACCCTTACTTTATTAAAAAAACTGATATAACAATCACCAAAATTGAATCACTTTGTAAGGGAAGTCCTTCTTCTTAAAAAAAGGGGTCCTAGTTAACTCGTCAAGGCAACACTGATTGATGGAATTAACCTTTGAGTGCAATAGACATATTCTTATTCTTAATATTTTATATCGGCATACGAGTCATTTTCCTAAACAACTAATATAGCCAGACGTTGCAATAGACAAGTATTTTTTCGAGTACTGAGTAACTAGTTTCAAAGAAACACATTGACAACAAAAACTCATTAATAAAACATATCCGTTAAAAAGGCAATAAAAAACCTCCAAAGGATTAAAAAGCATTATTTAATGCCTTTCTAATTTGCAAATTAATTTCGTACCCAAATGGAAAATGCGACAACTTGAAAAAACAAACATTTTATTTTGCTCTACGAATATAAATTCTCTCCCTTACAATGGAGTCTGGAATAATTTATAAATTTCTACGTTCCAACCAAAAGCGTTGGGAAAGTAATGTAAAATTCATTCTTAACTACTCAGATAACGGTGACTTAGTTAGAATGGGTTTTCTTTAAATGTACAAAATTTATATATGTACTTACTTGCTTACTCCATCTACTTGGATTTAAAAAAAGATAACTAGCCTATGTTTTCTTTCAGACTATATACATCTATACTAAATTTCATCGTGATCCGTTTAGCAGTTTAGGCTACAAACTCTAACAAACATCCATCCATATGAGAAGTGAGATCTCTACTTCTAAACATATATATCTTAAATATTACTATTACTTATTTTATAAATGCAAAAGTTTTGATGGATGGATGTTTGTTCCGTTTCACTAAAACAGCTTAACAGATCACAAAGATTAAACACATATGTAGAACGCAGTGAATAAATGTTAACTAGTCCCATCAAAAAAAAAAAACAAAAAAAAATGACTGTGCAAAAAAGAGTACGGACCAAGAGTCTGTAGAAGTTGATAAAAAATAACTAGTCCCTTGTTGTTTTTTTGATTTCTTTATTAATACTTTTTATACAAATTATTTTAAGAGCTCAACTTTTTCCGTTCTTATTTTCTTAATGTCACATCTTGTACTTGTTTCTGTCCTTCTCTTTTTTTTCCCATCTTTTCTTTAATAAACCATGCAATGTCTCAGTGGCCAGTACCTCTTTGGCTGTATTCACACTTGTCAGCCAAAGAGGTTTTATTTTCCACTGACCACATAAACAGGCAACTTTGAGTTTCTTAATGTGCGAAGGCAGGCAAAATCTCATAATTCAGTTATTGTATGTCTTGCAGAAACCTTACAAATGTACTAAGAATAGAAATGGAGTAAACAAATGGAATAATATGAATTAGGACTCACGACAGATTGCATGTATGTCAAGATTATGTCGCTGACAAAAGATAATATTAGCTAATACAAGTTGCCCGTAACTTCGCCCGCGTAAATTAAAGTATTAAATAATACAGCCTATGTTACTCGCAGATAACGTAGCTTTTTAATGGTGAAAGAATTTTTTAAATCGGCCCCGTAGTCTTTGAGTTATTTCAATACACACAAAAATACAAATCTTTCCTCTTTATTGTATAAGTATAGATAGAAAAGTATTACAACTGAGAATTGTCTGACTCATCAAAATTCAAACCAAATGTTAGCTTAATAACGCCCCCTGTAATGCCAAAAATAACAGCGACTCTGTTCAATTGCAATTAAAAAATTAGTTGTTTATATGTTCTTCCAGACTCTCTACATCTATGCCAAATTTTATCGAGATCTGTTCAGCAGTTTAGGCTACAAACTCTAACAAACATCTAAACTATCCCATTTATAATATTAGTATGATGTAATTTCTATGCCATTTTTGGTGTTGTAAATCTTCCGAATAAACCTGGATTCTGAAGGGGAGTAAGGATTGTGTAGGATTTGGTACTAAAATCATATGGCCCTCAACACATCGAATTGCCTCAACTTGCATGCATTAATTTAAAAATTAATTTTAAAATCGTATTAAAAAAGATAAAAACAGAGCACAGATTTTAACTAAAGAATGGATAAAAGTACTTATCTTCGTATTTCATAAAATATGTTACATTAAAATTATTAAATACTTGAGAATAAAAATTTCATATAAAACGTTTCACCCATTTTGAGTTCGCATTAAAGTGTAATATGTCATTTCGAATGTCATACAGAAAATGTTCGGAACGTTTTGAACACGAAGCTTCACGTGAAGTGGCTTTAAAATTTCAGATTTACGTTTATGAAATTAATTGATAGCGACTTTTTGTAATTAAATCCAAGACTTGTATCAAATTATACTAAGTTATATATCGCACAACTGTTTAGTCTCGCTTTGATTCCTATGAGCAACTAAAAAGTTGGAAGCTGCAAAACAATCGATAATCGCATAGTTGTGCGATAGTTCAGTCAAAGGTGCACGCCCACTCTAATAAAATAATGATTAATTCTTCCCATCCTAAAAATAATAATAAACAATTTTCAAAAGAAAATTACAACAAAACCTAAAAAACGAAATCATAAAACCTACAATATTAAAACCATAAAAATAATCACAACACCTGATTACAAAGAACACCAAAAATCCAAATAATACGAAACACACAAAAATATAGTCATCTCTTTTACTCTCGTTAAAAAACAGAGACGAAATATAAAAATATATGATAACTGAATCCCTATTTCGTTCCCGACTGTATCCGGGGGAATAAATGGGATATTATTAAAGATTTAGCAGGATTAAGGCTTGTGACAAAGGGGGGGATTAAAAGTCGGCTTGTGTTCCGAATTAAATAAGGCTGCTGGGGTCATTAAAGGGAAAATAAGGCAATTAATTTTTCACTTTAGCTCTCTGACTATAAAAATCTACAAGGAAATAGAAAGAATGGAAGTGACACTATTAATTTCAGAACATACTTGCTTTCGCCCGCGATTATGTTGTCGTGGATTTAAAAAACAAAAGGGAGTAGCCTATGTGTTGTTCTGGAGTACCCTCTACGTCTATGCCAAATTTCATCGAGATCCGTTCAGCCGTTTAGGCTACAAACTCTAACAAACGCCCATCTATCTAAACTTTTGCATTTATAATATTAATAAGATTTGTGTCGAGTCTCTTTTTTTAAAAATAGTGACAAGAATGGCGATATATTTCGAATAAAACATAGATATGATTTTTTATCATAAATAGTAAACAAGATGTGTTGATATCGATATTATTAAAACTATCGATATTTTGCAGCACCTCACTAGTTCTAGGAATGCATTCAAAGCGAAATTTTCCACAGAGAATTCTGTTCGTTCCCCTAATGGCCTGAAATGTAGACAATTATCTAATATAGAAATTTTCCATAGCGTTCTCTAGCTCCCGAGACATCGACAAGACAGCTTTTATCTAATATGGAAATTTGAGTTCTCTTGTAATCTAATTAGAAATGGAATTCAAGTGCTCGGTTGTAACTGGTCAATGTCTGGGAATAATTACGGTCATATTATGCTTCATACTAACGTACTTCTTACGAATATTATAAATGCGAAAGTTTAGATGGATGGATGCTTGTTAGATTTTGTAGCCTAAACTGCTGAACGGATCTCGATGAAATTTAGCATAGATGTAGAGGATAATCTACAAGAACACATAGGCAACTTACTTTTCTTTTTTTTAATTCCACCCGGATGGTGTCGCGGGTAAAAGCTAGTAATATTAAGATAATAAAAAGTTATCAAAGATCATATAACAATTTATTTTCTGTCTTTATAATCTAAAAATAACATATAAAAAGATAAATTCCAGATAAAATCGATACGAACACTTAAGTCAGCACATTGACCGTGTCAAGTGGCCGCTTTACGAACTCAACCTAATTTCTATGTTGACAGGGTCCATTTCAAGGCGACGGCGGACGACGATTACGCAGATTTCACTTGCGAAGCAAGACACGAGGCATTGCAGAGAGATGTCCCTATGCGAAGTACTGTGCAACTAAGTGTACTATGTAAGTAAACAAAATTACTCCTTAATCCCTACCACTAAGGGTAACAGGCATCCATAATAATGCCCGTCGTTGGTGCGCAGGGTGCGAGACAGCCCCAACAAAATTCTAGACATGATTATCAGCAGATTTGATTGTAGATATATTAATCTATGTTACTAATGTTGTAAATGCGAAAGTTTAGATGGATGGATGTTTGTTAGAATTTGTACCTAAACTACTGAACGGATATCAAAGAAATTTTGCTTAGATGTAGAGGACAGTCTGGAAGAACACATAAACTTTCTTTTGTTTTTTTAATTCCACACGAACAAAAGCTAGTACTTAATATAATAAAGCGTAAACACACTACTTCGTGGCGTAGGATGTCAGCATTCATAGTACATTTTTAAATAATTATTGCTTTAATCAAAAGCCCTACGAGACTAGACGTGTCAGGGCCAATCTTTCTACCTCTTTGTTGTAAGTGGATTTGACGGCAGATGAGATGCATTGGTAGGAGAAATATCCTGTTTATGTGCGTGTCTTTCGTCGAATTAAGATAGATAACGCATCTGCAATTGCGGATGTCTATGCAGTGGTGGCTTCGCAATTTCGGCGTATTGAGGTGGCCGCTTGCTCGTTTGCCACCTTATGTTATAAAAATAGTTGAATTTCTTGCTATCATTCCGCTGTAAGAATTCCTTGTCTGTCTATTCTCATTTTATATTTCTATACTATTATAATAAAGCGTAAACACACACTTCTTTATTGCCTAAGATGTCAGGAATTACAACATATTTTTTAATAATTCTTCTTTTAATAAAAAGCCCTAATTCAAGCTTTAGGCTATAGATATTAAGGCCATTAAACATTTTGGATAAAAACCCTAATGTGGGAAAGAGACCATAAGTTGCTGCCAACATCAAGGGAGCAAGATTGCCACAGTAAGGTAATTGATATTTTGGCATTTGCAATTGAGAATTTGACAAATGCAAACAATAAATTATAATTTCTAGTATTACATAACTAAAGACTACCAATGTACAGAAATTGTACAAAATTTCTCCATTTATATCGCTAAAACTCAATAAGTGCTTGCACTATGCGACTAATTTTATTAATTAACTACCCTCCAGCAATTTTCCTGCAACGGACGGACGACTAAGTGTACAGTTACACTATAATCTGCTTCTAAAGTTCCTTCATGAAAATTATGTCTAAGCTAGCTTTTTTCATTTTAATATTCCGCTTTTGAGTATTAAAAATGTAATTAGAGTAGGGTTGGCACACTACATTTTATAGCACGCTAGCTAGCTTCCGCCCAAACTCTGTCCGCGTAGAATTAAAAAAAGTAAGTAGCCTAAATGTTCTTCCAGACTATCCCCTACATCTATTAGAAGTATCATCGAGATCCGTTCAGCAGTTTAGGTTAGAAACTAACATACGTCAATCTAAACTTTCTCATTTATGAAGATAATTATTTTACTAAGATATGTTAATAATACAAATTGCTTAAAATTGAGATAACTTATCTTAGAACAAATTATATTGTCAATAAGAACGTACCCAATGCGGACAAATTTCTGCCAGGGTTTGCACGCTGCAATTTCTGACGTCGAAACGTTTGCGCAAATTCGTGCAATTTATTCAACGCGGAATGCAAATTGGACCAATTAATTTTTGAAGTGTGACAACCCTTAAATTAATAGTGATTATTAATTCTGACATCACAATAAAGAATATTACTTTAATCAGACTGTATTTATTAATAATGTCTCAAAACTCACTAAACCGATAACATTCCATACTATTAAAATAATTATTCTGTTTTGTCTAGTTTAACTCAAACACTATTTAAAAAAAAACTATTATACCAAAACAAACATAATATGAATGCGATAGTTTAGATGGATGTTTTTAAGAATTTGCCGCCTAAACTGTTTAACGAATCTCGATAAATTTTGTCATGGATTTAGAGGATAGTCTGGAAGAACACATAGGATACTTTTGGAAGCAGTCGGACGAAATCTAGTTTATTTTATAAATCTGTATACTCAAACGAAGAAAGTTCCTAATTTGAATTGAAAAGAACTGCATGTATGGAAATTAATTTATTTCAGGGTACATAAAATAAATATAGCATAACACGTACGTCTCGTGTAGAACACAGCGTGGGGCGACCCAGTTAGAAAGCACTCCCAAAAATAACAACATGGCGGGAGACATCTTGTTATATTGTTACACTAATTGATTGACATTGGTATACGACAAGCTTTTGCCTGTGACATCGACGACGCGGAATTAAAAAAAAAACACCTAGGCAGTTCTTCTAGTCCATGTTTCTTTCATGAAGATCTGCTGAACCGTTTTAGAGATACTTAACATCTTACTCCTCACTAATATTATTAACTAGCTGTTGCTTGCGACTTTGCCCGCGTATAAAATATACCCTATGTTACTACTGTAATGTAGCTTTCTAATGGTGAAAGAATTTTTTAAATCGGTCTAGTAGTTTTTGAGTAATTCAATTCAATTCAAGTCATCAGAAATATGAATTTTCCTGTTTTGAATCGTATGATCCAGCAGTAAACACAGCTTCAAGCGATCTCTACAACTGATAGTTAAATCTTGTATCGTGGCGTTTATAGCAATACAGCGGCTGTCATCGCTGCAGCGCTGCAGAGGCGACATGAGAGCCATCCTGCGTTTGATTGATTATTTGCTTTTGTTATGAATGAAATCGTATTTAAAACCATCACGCGTTTCAGACCTAGTTAACAGAAAATAGAGAATACAGCTTTTGTTTTTTTATGACTTTTAAACAGACGAATATCGTGACATGCAGTAAAAAAATTGTAATTTGAAAAACAAACGAACAAGCTTGTAACTTGATCTTACGTATCAAAGAATAAAGTAAAGCCAGCTACACACGCCTATTTCTGAAGGTTTTAAGTGAACGTCTGTAACGTGCTTAAAACAAAACTATAAATGTATATATTAAATCAATAACGACATCCTTTAATCACATCCATATAAAATAGCAAAAAAAAAATACTTACAAAAATCTCCCTCGGTCAGGTCCGAAGTTCATTACGCGTCTCTCAAACGCGACTCGCTAGAGACCATGAATTATTAATTTTCCATTTAAACGCTACCAGCGCCAATGTTTGTCCGGACCCCCGCCTATTGACTTTATCGCTATTCGATAGCTGGCAATTTAATTGCGCTGTATACTTTATATTCGGACAGAATTGATCCCCCTATTCTTAATTTTATTGTAACACTAGCTGTTCCCGTGCGACTTCATCCGCATAAAATTGTGAATTTTTATTTCATTGTTAACATTTGTCAAATTGTCAATTGCAAATGTCAAAATGACATGACATGATGACAAACTTGCTTCCTTGATGTTGGCAACCACTAATGGTCTCTTTCCCACATTAGGATTTTTATCCAATATATTTACCCCCTAAGTTTAATGGCGTGAAAATATATAGTCTAAAGCGTGACGTAAGTGTATGGATTTTTATGAGAAAAGATATTCAAAAATATGCTGTAATTGCTGACATCTTAGGCAACAAAGAAGTGTGTGTTTAAGCTTTATTATAATAGTATAGATTCAGTGTTTGAAAATATTGATATACTTTTGCCAACGACTTCGTCCGCCACAAAAAAAAAATGCCTATAACTACTTCCAGATTATACATCTGTGCGACACATCGAGATCATTTGAATCGTTTTACAGATACACAGTAATAAACTTTCAGCTCAAATTTCGCATTTATAATATTGACATGATTTTTAACCGACTACCCACACTAGGCACGTGGAGGGAGAAATTGTCATTCTTGCGTTACCTCTCGTGCTTGAAGGACGTGTCGTATATTTTCTTTGAATTAAACATGTTAAGATACTTATCTTTTGTGTAGTTATTCTGTTTAATAATTAATTAATAATAGCTGTGGTTACTTTTCATATAAGATGGGTAGATAATTTTAAATTGCTATTATAAAAAAGTAGGGGCTGCTAATATTGAATAGAGTATGCATATGTATTGAATTGCTTGGAAAAACAGTTTATAATTGAAATTCAGTTCATCCAGTTAGAGATTAAAAGCGCGATGTTAACAAAATAAATGCACCACTGACGGTCAAAGCAAACTTTCCAATTGAAAGCTGCAGTTTCGTTGCAACTAAGTATACACTCTCAAAGCTCTTGCTAAAATGAATTATTAATTGCATCGAACGCGTACGGACTGTTTGATATTCCGAAACTAAACTAATGCCTTTCATGTTGCAATGTTAGGAATGTCGTTTTATAATATAGTGGACTGTAGGGGAATTTACTGTCTATACTAATATGATAAAGCGTAAACACACTACTTTGTGGCGTAGGATGTCAGCAATCACAGCATATTTTTGAATAATTCTTTCTTTAATAAAAAGCCCTACACTTACGACACGTTTTATTATATACATATCTGTGAGACGTAGTAAGATGTACAATTTGATTTTTTAATTCAGAAACGACAAAGTATCTATTCTCTGATAGAAAAATTGTCTCTTAGCGTCTAAATCATAAGACTATGAAGATACTTTTAAACAACAAATTAAATTGTATTCAAGTTGTAACTTGATTTTGCCATCATACATAAAGCTATCCACTAACTCCACAACACGTTGTCAACATACGTGGTACGTGCATTATTAATATTAACGTTAATTTACGGCACAGCCGCCGGGGTGGGCGCCAAATTCCATCAGCCTGTATAATTACGCGCTGTTTTCTTTACCCCTATACTCAGTTTACACGGTAGTGATGTGACATCACAATATCGATATCGATATTATTTTTCCTGTCTTCACGATGTCAACATTGACATGTAAAAAAATTTGATAGATTAGTATATAACATTATTTTTAACTAGCTTACTCCCGCGACTCCGTCTGGGTAATATTAAAAACAATATTTACGTCTATGCCAAATTTCATCTAGATCTGTTCAGCCATTTAGGCTACAAA